ATACTGACAGCGGGTAGAACTCTCTGGGTCTCTCCACTCACTTTACAGGAAAGCATACCTCAGGGGATGGTTTGGAGTCCCCATTGTGACTCAGTTTGCCTTCCGTCCTAGTACCTGCACTGGCCTTCAGATATTCAGAGAGAGTGGGAGACTCATTACAGATGGAGTGCCGCTCTGCTGGCACAGGCAGACATCACACAGCTGGTGTACTGATGGCATGCTTGCAGCCTTTGGAGGTTCTGGGAAGGTCCTGGTCCCTCTTTGTCCCAGATCCCCCAGCTCTATGGAGTCTTGTGGAAAGGAACTGGGTAGGCTATCAATTCCTTTGCTGAGGCCTGGAGTAATCCCTAGGAAGAGGACCCTACGCCATGCTACCTGACTGACTACCATTTGAGCCTGTTTAGTTCTGCTCTTCTTCCAAACACTTCCTCAAGACCATGCCAGATGGGCTATGGGCTATGGGGGCCAGGACAGATAGAGTTGGATGGATCCTGACAGGGCTGGTGTGTCTGTAAGCCACATCCTCCTAACTTTAAGGGAAGTGATAGGAGGAGTGTGACACCAAGGGGCACCAAGCATTGGGGACAGGCTCCCACATCCCACAGCAAGGCAGCTATGCAATGTTACAGATCTACTTTCAAGCCTTCTGCATAGCTGGATTTGAAACAGCCATCACTCCTGCAAACAAAGCCATTTCAAAGATGACAACTCAAACTCTCTCCCTTTCTATTCTTTCCAATTAGGACTCAGCTGAGGACCATGAGAAGCCAGGGTTGGGCATCCCAAGCCCTGTATACAACTTCCCAGAGCTCTGGGTCCACAGTGTGATCTGTGGCCCCCTCAGACCCAGAGTGTGTCCCTGCTAAGCCACAGGGGCATGGAAGCCCTCCTGCTCCAATCCTTCCTGTTTTCCCCTCACCTGCTGGGCTCTGGCCCAAATCTACAGGGCCTCTGACTCCACTCTCCCCTGGCTCATGGACTGTTAAGGCTCCAAGTTCTCCAGGCCTTTGCATGGCAATTCCTTTCTTGTAGGCCCCCCTCTCTGGCATCTACAAACCACTCAGACAACAAGACACAGCATGACTTTGAAGAACCATCTAGGTCACTCTCATTCTACCAGAGCACCATCTGCGAGCAGAGCTTCTCTGTTTTGTGTACTTAGGGAATTCTATTGCGTGTGTCTGAAGTCACTTTCCTGGCATTTTCCTTGGGTTTTATAATCTACATAGGACTACACCATCCGCACTGCCCAGAGAAGGTATGAGACCACACTGTGGGATCAATACAAAGTAGGGCTCTGGGCAGTGTGTAGCCATCAGATCTGCAACAAGACATTGCCCATTGTGTTGCCCAAGTGCAAATGTAGTAGAAAATCAGTTGCTGGAGGGGTTTCTGAACCTGCTTGCACCCCCATGTGAGGGAAACCAGGCTGCCTAGTAGGTGACAAGCTGGAGGGCCACAATTCTCCCCAGCTCCAATATACAGAATATGAACCTGAGGTCCAGAGGTCAGCAGCCCTCCCATAGACATTTGGCAAAGCTGGGTGCCTGCCTCTCGCAGCAGCAGCACCAAAGAACTGAGTGGACAATATTTGGCAAGACACTGAACTCTTGGCAGTGAACAAAAATGCCATCGTGTACTACCCAGACTGTGGAGTGCCATGGTCATCAAGTACCAGGCAGGGGCAGGAGGGAGCCAGGTGCAGTGATAGAGCCAAGAGAGGACAGGAAATCATGGCAGTGATGGTGGTTTTCACAAACTTGGAGCCCCACTCCAGTGCTTATAAAGCTCTTGAGTAAGACAAACTATACTTGGATCTGCAGCAGTCAAGTGACGGTTCCTGGGTATCACTGGCAGCATGGACCTAGGAGGTCACATGGGGGTTTCCTGAGGGGGGTGTCTTTTTTTTCTTTTTTCTATTTCTTCTGTGCATGAGTGCAGGTGTGTGTGGGGGTGTGTGTGTAGGTGTGTGTGTGTGTGTGTGTGTGTGCACGAATGTAGGCCCAAGGTTGAAGCTCAGACTCATCCTTGATCACTCTTCCACCTTATTCACTAATGCAGGGGCTCTCAAGCAGACAGATGTCACTAATGCCTGTACTGTTGACTAGCTTGCTCTGGGGGGGGGGGTCCTCTGTCTCCACCTGGAACTACAATAGGTGGGCTGCTATGTCTGCTTGGCATTTATGTGAAACACCAACCTTCACGCTTATGTGGCAAACACTTTAATCACTAAGCCATCTTGCCAGCTTTTCCTGAAAGACTTCATCTGCTCTAGGCCTGGGCCATCAGGAGATGAGCTATCTCACGTATGTATATCAGCTATGAAGAAGCAATAAGACCAGGGGACAGCCACTTTCTGGGGCCTTTGTAAGTCCTGTCTCATCTAGAGAAGAATCAGAAGGGTGGCCCCTGATACTTATAAGCCTGGGCCACAACATCAGATGGTGTCTGGGCAAAGCCCTCTGGAGATCTCAGCTCTGGACTGTCAGCTCTGTCTTGGGTTCAGTGACCACCTCACTTCAGACAGAGCAGATGGGAATGGGCTCAGGTCCACGTACTTCTCTGAGCCAGAGCCAGAGGAAGATTTGGTGTCCAAGCCAGCTTTATATCTTCTCTCCAGAGAGGAACAGTAGAAGTTGCCTCTCAGGCAGGGCCCCTAGCACAGGTCCCTAGATCTTCTGGAGTGGTGCTACAGACCAGAGGTCAGAAAGAGTCAAAGGCAACCAGCAAGGCAAAAGTGGCCACTTGGTCTGTTACCAGCCTGGGCACTGCCTTCAGGCCTTAACCCTACAACCCCATCACAGGCTTGGGCAGCCCTGGAGATAAGAGCCCCCTGGGCCTCTCCAGCAGCTTCCCCACTGGGTGATAAGCAGGGCCTGTGTGGGAGCTGATAGGCAATGGCTACCACGGCGGTTGGCCAGCAGCCACTTATCAACCCCATCGCTGCCCACTACACAGAATTCCTATCTGTGGGAGCCGATAGGGCATTGCCTGGCCCCTGAGGATGCAAATAACTCGGGAAGCTGGGGTGCACCATGACCCCAAACCACAGCCCAGGGAGCATGGCCTTCACAGGAGGCAGGGCAGGCTGCAAACTACAAGGGCCTTGCTTCTCCATCTAAAAAAATGAACCAGTAACACATGTGTTTGAGGATAGTGGGTAATGCTCAACACTGATGTTGATGACTTGGTATCTGGGCCTCTGTAAGCAAGACACAGTTCCCAGCCAGTGATGTAGACTATTCTTCTCTGCCTTGTACTGAAGTGGGTATAACACTGTGTTGGCCCCATGGGGCTGATATAAGGACTGTCTATGCCTTCTACCCGCTCAGTGGCCACTGAAGTCCATAGAAACACATGATCCCTGCCACCCCCAGCAGGCATTGTCCACTTTATGCATGTGGACATGGAACAGGGATACACAGGGACTCCTGGTGCTGAGTCAGTACTCATAGACACCCTTCTAGATGGAGAAACTAAGTCAGCACAGGGCTAGTTAGAAGCTGGGTTGTCTGAATATAAGGCTCTGCCCAGTTCCATGGCTGTGGGCATGTGAATGGAAAAGATCCTGGCACCCATGTGATTGAGTGATTTAGTACAAATACTCCCATTATGGTACTGCGATCTGAGGATACTGGCCTCAAGTGAGATAAGACCCTGGGTCGGTGACCAACTCCTACCAGGTACCCCCAGAGGAGTGGACATCTTTGCCATACATTTCTGCCAGGTCATCTAGAGCCTTGAGAGGTGCTAAGCATTGATGTACTAAGGGGTGGCAGAGGGGACTGCCCCAGGACACTAGCCATGGGGCATTCTGTAAGTGGACTTAATTTCTATACAGGATGTGGGTCCCCATTCTGGCTGTGGCCTTCTGGGCCAACCCTCTCTCTCTGGTCTTAGGCTGTTTTTCCATTGTGCACCCCTCAGCCACACATGCCACTCATCTTCCTTTGCACTGGTGGTAGACATCACCAACGGACTCCTGTACTCTTCTAATGCCAGAGGACCACACCAAAACACCCATATGTTCAGTTAAGAATCCAGTTAAACATCTACTCTTTTCCAATTTGGATCCCAAGTTCTCCAGGGGCAGGGGGGTGAGGTGGGGAGAGGAACAGGATCTCTGCCCTGGGAAAACCTTCTCTGATCCCTCAGCAAGACAAGACCCTTGATACGCCTTCTATCCACAGAGAGGAATGTGGTTGTGATAATACCTACATGCTCATACACAGCTAACATTCAATAACTGTGCACACACGTGTTGTCCACCCACATGCTTGTCCTCCAAACTCCTCCATCATTGGCATACCACTTATACATACAACACGTATCCCACCTTACCTACTTGCCCTGCATAGTGGTCCTTAGCCCTCAATAAGAGCACTGGAAATCAGTGACACCCCCACTGTGATCCTGGGCCATGGTATCTGTTTATCAGAAGCAAGGGTACTGTGATTGTCACATTTTGTGAGAGCTAAGATCCAGCTGCCAATTCTAGCTTTGCATATAACCAGCAGCACTCATTGCCTGGAGATGTACAAAGCTCCAGGCTTGCCTGGCTTGTGGGGCAGATGGTAACTAAGAACCTCAGATGGGCTACAGTCGCCAGGAAGAGCAAGCGTTCTTCTCACACAAGCCTGAGCCGATCTGGGCACTAGCCAACTTCGAATTCCAACTATCTGCTGTTGGGAAGACCCCAGACTGGCAGCTCCGGTCACATCCTCTAGATACCCCTCCAGGTGCCTCTCCCTGCTGTCATCTCTCAGTCCTCATTGCCAGTCACACAAGCCCCTCCAAATGCTTCTGCCTACACCATGGGTTCTGGGTGTGGGCACTCTGAAGACCAACTTGGATCACATTGCTTAGGCCAGCTGCACAGACCTGGGCACCAGTAGTCTCCAACAATCCAAGATAGCCTAGCTCGTAACTGGCCCAGAAGGCTATAACAAGGCTGCCCTGGGGTCATAGCAATGCTGTACTGGGCTAGTCAGCTTGGTTACCTGGTCCACTCCAGGGACTGGCAATGGCTGCCTCGTCTTCCTTTTCCTCTTTCTCTTCATCCTGGGACCTCATCTCCAACTCCTGCTCCTCCATATCCTCAGGACCTTCTGGAGACTCAGGGGGTGCTGGCACTGTGGATGGACTCACATCTGTAGAGAGAAAAACACTGTCACATTCTTGCTATGCTAGCCTGTAACCAGGAGGGAAACTGAGTCCAGAGAGCACACAATCACCTGCCCTCCTGCCTTATTTAACACTGCAGGTTTCTTCTTGGCCTTGTAAAGCCCTCAGCCCCTGCTGATCACGGCAATAATAATAATTCTTTAGCTTTTGTCTATCATAGCCCAGTGCCCACCCAGTGCACCTAGGCCTGTGGCCTCTGGCTCACTGGTCTCTACAACAGCTGGGCCCCTTCACTAGCCCCGCACCCAATTCCAGCCCAAAGGGCATGTTTGCCTTCCTGGCGAGCCAGATAACCAGTGTGGCCCCCGATCGATGCGCTCCTGTAAAGCCCCCTGGGTGACGTCATGGGAACAGCAGATTATTAATACCACGATAAGGGCTGTGATTAACATCAAATAAATCAATCCCATGGTATAAAAGTCCTATTATTTTTGGCTATAAATCAAAGTGGCTGGCATCTGAGCTCCAGCCACCGCGAGGAGCCGTGCTGGACCCGCCTGAATGTCAGATATGCTCTTGTGCCGTTATCGGGCCCATCACTGCGTTATCACGGCTGCCGGTGCCAGGTGCAGGCCTGGCTGTTTGTCCCAGATCCTTCCCGGCCCCACCCGCCTACCCCCTCAGCAGCCCCAGCTCCCCAATCAGATAAGGGCCAGCTCCCCGGGAAGCCATGGGTCAAAGTCCAGTAGCCGCCAACCACTTGCCCTTTGGCAGCTGGGCCACAGCTGCCTTAGTGCAGCTCCTGATGGTAGCACTGATGGTGAAGGAGATAAGATGGGAGCCTATGAACATAGCACCTGCTCTCCTGGAGGCCACCTAGTAGAAACTGAGGCTGGGTGGTCCAGGGTCAGCCATAGATAAGATAGCTTCACCCCTCAGTACTGTACGCTGGCAAAAGCAATGAATAAGGTCCTGACTGGAGACTGGCCTGGCACAGGCCACCTCACTCCTGGGGCAGGTGTCCCTGGAGAGCTGAGGGTGATGGAGTTAGGGCTTGACCCCCAGGGCTGTGGCCAAGCAAGGGCCAGAGCTTCAGGCTGGGTGCTGGGCCTGGTAAAAAGAAGGGAAGTGGGAGGGCCCCTGGCCTGCAGCCATTCATTAAGGGGCCCGAAACACTGGTGGGGTGCTCAGTGAGAAGTCCCCAGGGATGAAGGTCTGTCTGGAATTTCTGTCCCCCATTCAGATTCCTGAATATCTCTCTGATGTCCCTTCTGTCCTCTATGTCATTTCCTTTCTGTCATCTGTTTTCCTGTCATCGTAGTCCTCCTCCTTCATCCTTGTTCTGCTCTACTCTCCACCCCTACCCTAGTCCACCCTGTGTGTGTGTGTGTGTATGTGTGTGTGTGTGTGTGTGTGTGTACCTTTTCATGTGTGGTAGCCTGAGAACAACTTTGGAGGTCTTTCCTTAGTTGTTCTCTACCTGGTTTGAGATACTGTCCATCATTAGCCTAGGACTGAACCAATCTGGCTGGCTGCTGGCTAGTGAACCCCAGGGTCACACCTGTGTTCATTCTCCCAGTGTTGAGATTGTAAGCATGCATCACCACACCTAGATTTTAGAGATGCTGAGGCTCAATCTCAGTCCTCCAGCCTGTATGCAAGCATGTTACTGACACGGATTTCGGCAGGTCTATTGTCCTCTTTGTTGTCCCCTCTCTGCCCTCTCTGTTATCCATTCTCTGCCATCTGCTTCATCCCTGTGTCTCCCTATACACTTGCTGGCATTACTGCCAGAGTACCAGTCCATTTTGCATATAGTACAGGTGGTTCCTTGGGGATCTCTGCTTAAGGTCATCACCTGTCTCTTTTTCACTTCTGGTCATGTCACCAGTTGATTATCCTCCCAGGGGCCCAAAGCTACATTGTCCAATCAGAGGCTGGTGGGCAAGGTTGGGGTGTGGCTCAGTGGTACAGTACTTGCCTAGCATGCTTGAAGCCCTGGGTTTAATCTCTGGCACTTGGATTGGGGTGGGAAGAGGCTAGTGGGGGCTAATTCAGATTTTGCAAAGAAGAGTAGATATGGAATGGTATGCCCTTGCAGCTTGGGGCTGCAGGTGTAACAAAGGTTCATGGGTATGGAATGAAATGCTCCTGAAACTCAAAGCTGCAGATAGACTCATAGCCAGGTAGAGCTCAGGATACTGGGTCAGGATGCAGGTATCGCTTAGGTACCTCTCTACCGTCCCTCCAGAACTCAGTGGCCTCCAAAGTGCAAGCAAAGTGCCAACCTCTCAAATACTCTGCCTCCCTGTGGTCCCCATTCTCTGGACTTCAGGGGTGTCTGAACTCTCACTGTCCTACATCCAGCACCTGGCCTGAACCGGCCCCCTAGAGTCTGGGTGGTTTCCTTCCATGACCTGTCTTCAGCTTCAGAAATGCACTGACCTGGAAAACTGCAACCAGGAGGCCCAGTAGAGTCTCAGGAGGTCATGTGGCTAAGAAAAGGGGGCATGTGACAGTGGGATGAGTCCTAAGCCAGACCTAGGTCAGATCCTTGCCTGTGACCCCAGACCAGCTTTGTAACCTCTCTGTACCAATGTGTTCTTTGCCTCTAAAGATCCTCACAGCCCTTCCTGGGTGCAGCAGCTTGATGTTGTGTATGGAGCCTAAGCCACAGCCCTGCAGATCCTGTGGACACTATTTCACAGTGGTAAACAGGCTGGGAGGGCATGACTTTCCTGAGGTCTAGCCCTGGACAGGATTTTCCCCCACCCAGACCTCAATTATCTTAGCATGAGGCTGAACCTCCAACTCATGCACAGCAGATACCTCCCTCCCCTGATCTCTTTAGGTCCTGGGGACAACAGCTGGAGGACACTAGGCATCAGCTACATGCTGAGGCCCTCTGTCCTCCCATGAGCTCTAGGCAAGATGCTGATCTGCACACTCACCTTCTCTGGGTGGGCTTGGGGGCTCCTCTATGGATGGGGCTTCAGGGGATGTGGCCTCTTGCTCCATGGGGCTGATGTCCATGGCCTGGGTTTCTTCTCTAGCCTCAGTATCTCTGAGGGAACCTGTGGACATAAGCCCCGGAAAATTCACGAGGTGCTTCTGGATAAGGCCACCCTGGTTTCCTAATGGCAAAACAGGCTCAGCTTTGGTGCCTGGGTAGAGTGGGTGTCAGGACAAGGGCAGGAACAGCTATCCACTGAGGCAGAGGTTGTGACTCCTGGGTCTCCTGGCAGCTAGTATGTTCACGCTTTATTTACCTCCCACCCCACAACAGTTCCTAAGCTTTGGTGTCACTTGATGCATTTCCTATCCTTGCCCTTCATGTTGTCTGTCTCTCCTCAGGTAATGTACACCATTTGCCAGGTCACGAGTCTCAGCCCTTCCCAACCATACACTCCCAATAGAAACCAACACGGAGTCCTTTGGGGTTCAGATGGATGTTTCAGGTCTTCCTGCCTCACAAGTTCACAGACTCACAGGCTCACACACAGATTCACATACTCACAGGCTCACACATGGACTCACAGACTCAAACATAGACACACATGCTTAAACATAGACGCACAGGTTCACACACAGATTCACAGGCTCACACACAGACTCACACACTCACAGGATCACACACGGACTCACAGGCTCACACACACACTCACAGGCTCTCACACACACTCACACAGCAGACATGTCTACCATTTGCTTATGGCCTCTTGCAGGAAGACTCTCAGGCCCCATATATCAAGCCACCACACACTTGGGGTTTGGTCCAGAGCTCCCCAATGTTGAGTTTTTATGCTCACTACATTGGGCAAACACATGATGGGCACTACATTGCCCAAACACATGACTGGGTCAGGACACAGGTACCCTTCACAGTGGGTGCTGGGCACTTTGCTCCCCCCCTCCAGATCAGTTGGGGGGGGCATTCACCTTGGCATGGGAGATGACAAGCTGGAATAAGCCCCCCCCCCCGAGATTTTACAATGACTCCCAGAGGACACCAAGCACAGGTCAGGAGTGATGCAACCTCTGAGGTCACCCAAGGGTATCAGTGACAGGAACAGAACTGAGGCCCAACTGAATCCCTTGCCCAGCCTGGCCCCTCGGGTCATGTTCATAAGCCACAGCTTGCAAGGGAAACCTGTCCTGTTATTTTGTAGTCACTGAGGAGGGGAAGAACCTGTGTCTTGGGCACACCCACTGGCATGGGAGGGGCCTTGCATCTTAGAGCAGCGAAGCCTGAAGACACTAGAGAAAATAACCCAAAAGGCCATGTGTCACAGGGCCTGAGGATACCTGAGGGTGAGGTGTCTGTCTGCCTTAGGGTACAGGAAGGGGCAGAAGTCATGTAAGGCCCATCTTTGGTTTTGTTTTGTTTTTCAGGCAGGGTCTCATGTTTCCACATTGGCCTTGAACTTAACTGTCAGCAGTTCTCACACTGGGGATCACTCCTAAGACCATTGGAAAACACAGATATTTACATTATGATTCATTACAGTAGTAAATTATGAAGTAGCAAAGTAGTAATTTCATGTTTGTGGGTCACCACAACATGAGGAACTACTTATATTAAAGGGCTGCAGCACAAGGAAGGTTGAAAGCCTTGTATGTGGTCTCCTGAGTGCTGGGATCACACCTGGCATAGGCACTGTAGGGATCTAACCCAGGGCTTTGTGTATGGGAGACAAGGGCTCTACCAACTGAGTAATGGTCCTTGCCACTTCAGAGCCATTTCTGGGGGCAGGCCAGTGTCTTCAGGAAGGGGGGTGGTCTAGGATATACCCCTTTGACACTTGGGGGCCCCCAGCCTTTCACAGCTAACAAAACCTGCTACTTTCCAGGACAGCAGCTCAGTGCTGCTCCTTTTCAGGAGGAATGGGGGTTCTGTGGGAGACCCGCAGGCCTGTGGCAGGGCCATCAATACCAACACGTGTTAGCATACACCCAATCCCTAAGCCACTGTGGGACCCATGGTACTGGTCATGTCAATGGCATGGGGACCCATGAAGATGAAATCGAGGCCAGGCTGGGCCCAGGTTTGTAGAGCAATCTTTTGGATGGGATGAAGGACAGATTTCTGTGTCTAAAGGACTATGGTGGCTGTAATCCAGACCAGGCCACACTGCTGGGGTCAGTGTCATCCTGCTCACATGGGCCTCAAATGGCCAGGCACCATTCTAGGATGCAGGGGCCTTATGACATTGCATGTGGCTCCTGGAGAGACCCAAAGAACCGTAGTGGTTCCTAAGCCAGGAACGAGGGCAAGTGCAGGGGTGAGACCGGGAGATGCGGTGTGTGGGAGAAGGTAGTGGGTGGGAGTAAAAGCAGAGCTCCACCGCATGGGCCTCTGAGGTCTGGAAAGAAGGGACTCCACCTTTAGCCCGGGGTACAGCGTTGACGTCACACATCCCAGGAAGGGGAACCGGGACAGCTGCAGTTCTGTGGGTACTAGCTCTGGATTCAACCTCCCAGAAACAGGGCTAAGGCCCACAGTGGCAGACACATGCCTTGGCCCGTATGACTTGGAACTAGGGCTGGGAAACGGTGCTGTGGTGGAGGTCAACCTTGAGCAGAGCCACCCTTCAGGACACTGGAGACTTCCCTGCCTAGGCTCAGCACCCATCCCACTCTAAGAGCTCCATGCCTCCCCAAGGGCTGGAAGACACCTGGAGTCTCAGTTGTCCCTTCCAGCAATGGGATGAAGCCTGCTCTCAGGAACTCTGGGACTGGCACTGAGCTGGGCCAACGAGGGGGCACAAGCAGAAACATCCTTCCTCAGTAATGTCATGGAGCCCAACCTGGTGCCCACCCAGGTAGATCCCCCACGCCCAGGCGCCTGGAGCTGGGATGTTCCTTCATTTACAAGAACAAAGGCGAGCACTCCTCACAAAGCCTCGTGGATGAGCGTGGAGAAGGAAGCTGGGCTGCAAGGCTGTTCAGTCTGATGTTGTTAATTCAGTTCCAGAACAATTAAAATGACTATGATAATGCAGGAGACAATCACCACTGGCAAACAGAGAGAGCCCACAGATGGGATGTGGCACTTCTGCCTGGTGCTGCTTTCTGAGCCCTCATTTGACTTCAATGGAGCCTAAGCTGGCACTGGGCCCCCTGGTGCACCTAGACCCATAAGGGCTGTGGAGAGCACAGGGGAAAGCTGGCCCTGTACATCAGGGGTATCCATGAACCATGAACCATGGCTGGACATTGTCCCTCTGGGGACCCTCACTGTCCCCAACCAGGCAGAGTAACAGATAAAACTGTGTCCTTGCTATTTGACCTTGGGCAAGACATTCTACCTCTCTGTACTCCATCTCCTCAGCTATGAATGGAAACTCTCACAGCTGCAGCCTCCCAGGACAGCTTGCTGGCACTATCAACGTGTAGCTTAGGGTGCTGGGGCCCAGTGCTTTGCAAACACCAGCTGTCACTGGTTACTTACACCAATGACCCAGCAGGACCAGGTGTAAGCAGTTATTAAACACAAACTGTGTACAGGGGCCTTGGCTTGCCACTTCACAAATGTCCTTCCTTAACCTCTCTCACAAAGCACAGTGAGGTCATCTTCCAGTCCTGTCTCAGATGGGGAAAGTAAGGTGCAGAGGGTTCATGCTGGGTTAGATCTTGGTATGTATATGTAATAGAGAATATATAATGTGATATAATGTGAGCCAAACTGGGTGCCGTGGGAATGGGACAAAGAACAGTAGGGTGTAGAGTGGGGAACCTAAGGCCAGTCCTATTTAAATTCCATGTGCATAGAGAGCCAAACATCCCTCAGTGGGAAGTCTGGGTTGCACCCACTTTATGAATGGGTAAACTGAGGCCCACCCAAGTAAGGCAGAACAGCTTGCCAATGATCCTCAAGGAAAAGGCAAGGGGGTGGTGCATGGAGAGAGAAAAACGTGGACAACATTAGGACCTGACCAGACAGGCTGCCTTCTTAGCACTGCCTCAAACCACACCTCCCATTGCTGATAGTGAGGCTGATGCTGGCTCTGTTGCCAGGTTGGAGATGTCTGGGCACAAGACTGCACTGCTGCTCAGTGGCATCCACAGGCCACCATGGTGGTCACTCACAGCCAGGACAGCACTGGGAGCAGCCCCCATAGTGCCCCGAGCCCCTTGGTTATCACAAGGAGCAGATGCCCAAGCGCCCATCCGTCTCCTGCTCATTAAGCCGGACGCCGCTTGGGAATGAAAACATAATAGCTATTTGATTGGGGGTGAGATATTTTGCATATTGGCTCAGAGCTGATAGCAGAATTTCATCAACTCCCTTTTTCATGCTTTAAAACTGAATTATGGAGACAGGCTCTGTGTGGCAGGCTGATGCCCACTTCCTTCCAGGTCCCTGTGTATGTGAGAATGAGTACAGCCCTCTCTCATCTTTGATGAGTTGCACTGAAGGGTGGTGGTGGTCATTTTTAAATCACCACGTGGAGGTCACTGCAGTTTCTGAGAGAGGGACAAAATCCCCCAGTCTGTGTCCCCCAGGCAGCAAGGTCATGGGTGGGACACCTGCAGACCACACATGAGGATGGGGACCACTGTAAGAATCAGAGCAGCACCCACCTTTCCAAACCCAGCAGAATCACAGACCAAGGCCCACAGGAGCCTGCCTAGCACTGGGTCCTTGCTCTAGGATCACCCAGTCTTTCCTCCCTTTCTATACATGGAACAAGGATGATCAGAAACAGCTGCCTGCCCATCCTTGGGCAACAGAGCTCAGAGACAGATCCCAGGTAAACCCCACCCCCCAGAGACCAGGCAGCCTCATTCCTGATCACAGCTGTTTCATCTACTTACATACTCATTTACTCACTCATCAAACCCTTCCCATGCCTTTGTTGTGCCAGATTCAGGACCAGGAGCTAGAGACAAAGCAGTGACCACACTTCTTTCCCCAAAGGAAAACAGGTGCCAGTGTGCATGGCAGGAGGGACAGCAGAGGTGTTGTGAGGGGAAGGTTCCTGGAGGAGGTGGCAAGGATGGACAAGAGAAGAGGCTCCCTGCCAGTGGGCCAACGAAAAAGTAGTGGGGTAGAGGGACACCAGGCAAGGCA